AGTGGAGGATTTTTGCGATTTTTTAAAAAAGACCCGCCCTCTCCACTTAAAGAAAAATGCACAGGTACAACCCTGTACCCGCTCCCGAGAGGGAACGCCTATTCAACGTATGCGAGAGCGTGCACGAGCCCATTTCTCCTCGTGCACGCTCTGTTTAAAAGTTGCTGTTCTCATAGCTCAGGAGTCTTCAACGTTTCCCAGTCCAAGGACCCCAAACTGATGGCGGCAGAGCGGGGTCCCCCTGATTATATAGATTGAATAAAATAGTGTTCTATCAAACTGCTCCTATAGTCACTCTATTACAGATGGAGTAATGTAACTAAAGTAATCCCTCCCTGGGATTATTAAAGTATTTCTGATTCCTGGTTGATGGGACAGGTGTCTGAAAGACATCTTCTGCCTCCATTTATCTGTTTACTACAGTCTGTTGGATTCATGTTCATGTGGATTTAAAAACATTTAATTAGTGGAAAAAAATTGCAGGAGGGAATATAAAAAACCAAAACTTTGGCGACCCCCATGCAGTACCTCTGTGGACCCCCCTAGGGGTCGCAGACCCCCTGTTGAAGACCTCCGTTATAGCTCAACTGTTCAGCTCACGTTAACTGACCGTTCAGACAGATGATCGCTGTTGGTCCCCTGCGCGGTTCCTGCGCCATCTTTGCTATTATTCGTTAGTTGTTATTCTTCGTAGACACTTTTTCTCTTCCGACCTTCGGCCATTTTAAAAGAACCGCGGTGAGAAAGGTGAGCTTCAATGACCGTCTGAAACCGTAGCTCATCACAGATATACGCCTGAAAGTGCGCAGAAAAAGATCGCTAACGGGGCTAGCACGTAGGATGGCTTTATGTAAACATATCACCAGAATGATTGACAGTTAGGAGGACCACTGATTGAGATGATCCACCCGGAAATAAAAGATCCTCCTCTATACCATTAAAGAGATCAAATTAATAATATATTGGAATGAAAGTAATTAGAAAATTAAATAAAAGAAAAAACAGAAGTGGAAATATTATGAGAAAAAGTTCCTATTATGAGAATTAAGGAGGAGCATTAAAGATTAGTCACAGTTTGCAGAACTTATTCAGTCCTGGAGAAATAGGGTCAGGTTAAGTTCTTTGAATTACTTTTATTCTTTACGAGAAAAAGTCAAGAGAATGAAGCCAAAGGATTATTAAGAATATAAATTATATTCTGAGCTTAAAGTCCCTCTGATACTGTTTCAGTGTCTGAGTCTATCAGTAGATTTGTCTTCTATAGTTTGGTTTCNGTTTCTTTTTATGTGTAGATTCTGGTGAAAATGTCATGTCTTTACACCTCTAGAAATATATTTACTGTGCAAAATGGCGGCGTGTTCCGTACTTATTAAACCGCTGTAACTGTAAAACTGATCATGTGCAAAAAAAACAGTAGCTTTATTAGAGCTGCTCACTATTCTGTTAAATTCTGTTGAAATCAGAAATGTTTAGCTGTGTTCTGAGCTAACAGGCCGTGTTCTCGTCAGACGCCCCTAAATCACATGGAATGCATCCAGCTGTCACTAATCACACCTGTGCTTCTTCTGCCAGAACTTGTAGAAAAATGCCTCTCCTCTGTGCCGGACTGGACCCCCACCCCAGGAAACCTCAGCTGCTCTGGTCTCCTGCTCCTCCATCTCCTCACTGCAGAGTTAATCCTGCAGCGTCCCAGATCTGTACTGGGACTGAGCCCCAGTGGGAGGTGGAAATGAGATTTCAGAGGGCAGCGCCGGCCACCTCTTTAATCAGGGGGGGGGGCATTGGTAAAAGGAGGCGGGGGAGGATTTGCTGCGTCCCCATGAACGCAGGTGATTTCTTAGTGAACATTATTGCCTTCCAAAGCTGACAAAAACATTCTGTGCAGTTTGGCCTCAAAACCAAAGTGTGTTCTGGTTTTCGCCCCCCCCCTATCAAAACTCCCCTGGATGTTATAAGGGCCCAGAACTGCCCCCCCACCCGAGGACACCTATGGATGCGTTCAGAACAGTTGATAATCTTCCATCTTATCAAAGACGATGGCCTCTGGACAGCATTCATGGACAAACTGACACACAACCGATGCTCAGACAGCAGATAGACCCACGTTCCTCCAAAGCCTCCAACGTTAGACTCCGCTGATATCATCTGTCTCATGTTTATATGTGCTTTTTTTTTCCTGAGGTGATTTTATCGTATCTCAAACTGGACCCTGTCAAGGAGAAAGTGTGAAATATGCTTTTTATTCCCTCTGCCTCCCAAAAGGTGGCTCCTATCTTTCCACAGAGATTAAATGCAGCGCCCAAAGGGAACCGCCTCCTGTCAGTATGGAAGAGGATTGAATGTGAGAAAACAGACAGAATTCTGACAGCTAGCAAGTATGTTAGCATCCAGCCGTAGCCATGTCTGTTTTAGAGTCTAGCTCTCTGGTTTTAATCTCCTTCTTCTCTTCCATTAATGAAATAGCATCACCAGGAATCCCTCAGGGACGGAAAAACTCGCCTAATTCCCTTAAGTCAGAATTCTAAGATTAAAGTCAGAAGTCTGACTTTTTTCTCAGAATAAAATAAATAATTAGTTCAGGTTTCTGAGAAAAACAATCTGAATTCTGAGATTTAAATTCTGATTTCTGGAAAAAAAAAAAAAAAAGGGCAGAACTCTGAGCATAAAGTCAGAATTCTGCCTTTTTCTCAGAAATCTGAATTTATTATTTATTTTATTCTGAGAAAAAAAGTCAGAATTTTAAGATTAAAGTCAGAATTCTGCCTTTTTCTCAGAAACCTGAATTTATTATTAGTCTGAGAAAAACAATCTGAATTCTGAGATTTAAATTCTGATTTCTGGAAAAAAAAAAAAAAGGGCAGAACTCTGAGCATAAAGTCAGAATTCTGCCTTTTTCTCAGAAATCTGAATTTATTATTTATTTTATTCTGAGATTAAAAGTCAGAATTCTGAGATTAAAGTCAGAATTCTGACTTTTTTCTCAGAATAAAATAAGTAATTAATTCAGGTTTCTGAG